ATTTTCATTTATCAACTAGATATTGACATTTGAAAATTATTATTTCAACCTAATTTTAATTATTAATTCGTATGCTAGAAATATGGCTATACTTTTTTTATTATAAAATTTTTAAAATGATGTTGATTTATTTCTATTGCCTGGATTTGAATCTTGGCACTTTTTATTAACCGTTAAACCAATTAAAATTTTTGGCTCATATATTTATAAATGTTCTTGTAAAATTATTGTTGATTATGATATAATCATCTCAATATTAATCTATATAGGCTAATTTCATTATAATAGTTATAAATATTAGTATTCATTCATTTTTCACATTTGCGTTCCAATTTACTGTTTCGGGCAAAATTTACAATTAAGGTGCGATAAATAATTAAATTCATAAATTTATTACGCACAATAGCATAGAATTTATACTTTTCTATAGTCAAAGCATCAACTTGAGTAGGAATTTTCTGATCCAAGGAATGTTATAAAACTTGAAATTGAAGAAAGTTTTAACATAATCGTTTATTTTTGAGTAAAATTTTTTATATTTTTGTATACTGCATATTTACACAATATAATAAAATTTACAATTAATAAAATTTTTAGTGTTCATAAAAACTTACAAGGTATGATTAGTTTTAGACATGGACAATAACTAAATATGTAAGATCAGCCAATCAGGTATTATCAATCAAAAAAATGCTCGTTGTTGTTCTTATTTAATGACAACTTTGATATAACATTTTTATAGATCATTTCATTATAAATGTGTGCTAAAATTAAATAATAAACTTATTTATTTATCATGAAAGTACAAATCATAATCTGAACATTATTTTCGCAAATATTATTATTAAATTAATTTTGCACAATGAACCATATTTCACTATGTAAACTTATGTAAGCAAAATAATTTATGAATTCGTTATACATAAAATAAAATTACAATATTTGTCTCGCTATGGAACAATTAACTGGTTAAATACATGAAACACCAACCTCCTTAAGACTGTTGCTGAAATTTTTTATTTATTTCAGAGAATACATTATCAGTAAGAACTACAGGAAATCAAACATAATTTCATAAAGTAGAACAAAGAATATACTGTAAAAAAGCCATCCGTCGGCGACATTTCTCTGATGGAAAAGGGTACTATGCGTAACGATAAAGCACGTACAACGGCAGAAGGAGTGAAATGACAATATGAAAGAGGCCATCACATCTATTCTAAACATATCACTGATAGGGTTGTTAACGGTCCAAATCGGTCCAGAAGCAATTTAACAAATGGTCGAACCCAGAAAAGTGTCACTTACCTCCAATAAGTGACCAACCCTAAAAACGGTCTGGGAACAAATATTATTAATAATTCTTTTTAAAAAATCATTTCAAAACCGGTAATTAGCTTGGGACTAATTCCGACCAATTGGTCCAGACCGATACTAGGACCGGTTCCACGTTTTAAGTTTTCCAATAAGTAACCTACCCTAAAAAATGCCTGGGAATAAAACTTATTTAAGAAATAATCTCAATTTGCTTGGGACCGGTCAGTCCTAGTCCGTAGGACCTAAACGTACCAGTATTTATCTTTCACAAATGTGAAAAACACAAGTGCGCTACTCACTTGTAAATACTGTCAAAAGTGAAATGGTAAATTTGGTAGAAAACAATTGTTGTCTTTTACAGAAATTATTAATCGCGCGGAGGAGAGAGCAGCTGAGTTGCTGAATCATCATCTGGATGAGGTGTACGTCTGAAATGTCAACGGCACATGTGCTGTGCCACAGATCTTGACTTGTGTGGCGCGATCAGCTTTTTAAGTTGTTTATTGCAATAAAATTCTCTCCCCTTTTCTTTTCCCTTTTTTATTTTAAAATAGTATTTTTTAAAATCTGCTAAAACAATAAGAAAACGCTAAAGTAATAAAAAATAAATATATTGAAAAGTTTAAGTATGGAATATTGTTATACACGTAAGTGCTTTTTTCTCATAATATACGCGTCAAGTACTGACATCAACTATTGTTTGGCGTTATAAAAAATATATTCAATTTAGTTTATAATATTAAAAGATAGAAGTTTGGTTTAGAGATTATTATATAATTAATACAGTATGATCATTATGTAATTAGAATTTCACTTTCTGTTATTATTAACTTATTTTTATCAATATTATAAAATATTATTAATGAGTATGCCAACTTGATTCTCAGTGCCACCCTAGTTATAATTTAAAGTCTTCAGTAAATTTTATTTGCATCAAGATATTTATTTAGTAATTGTTTAATAATTGTGATTAAAACAATATAAATTAAATTTAAGTGACTCTTTTTCATGGGAATTTTACATGTCAGGTTATATGATATTTACTAATAATAAGGGTATAATGGTAACTATTTGTAATAATGTATTTTAAAAATATCAAGCAATTCTCCCTTCTTTCACTAAAAAAAAATAATAATAAAATATTATTTTGTGTTAACAGTCCTTTGCACAACAATACATTTATTTTGATTATATGTAAAGTTTTCTACTCCATACCTATATAAAACTTTTATCTGAATGAATCCATTATTTCTCCATGGCTTTCATAAAAATTCTGTAAAAATGATATATTTACAGATATCCGCGTTAGAGAGATGAAAATTTCAATGATTTAAGGCTATTATTACCATCATCTGGATTACACAAAAAAAATCCAGATTATATCCGGGTCGATCCGGATTTTAAATCCGGATCAGAATAATCCGGATAGAAACTGGAAACCAGATTGGATTTTTTTAATTAGCTACAGAGATGCACAAAAGCTCATTAGAATAGTCTTGTTGAGACGGATCGAATGGTGCTAATTTCATCCTTTTACAATCACTGGATGCCGAGATATTCAACAACTGAAAACATCAAAAATCGGCATTTTATATATTGCAAGTTACGACACTGTGCATTTTATATTTTGTCAAATATCTCTACATCCAGTGATCATACAGAGGTGCACAATAGCTCATTCGAATCATTGCATTAAGACGAAGCTAATGAGCTTTAGAGCATCTTTCTACGACCACTGAATGTCGTGATACTCGATAAAATGTCAAAACCTGCATTTTTCATTTTGCAATACTGGGCCATTTTACGGTTTTCCGAATATCTCAGTATCGAGTGATCATAGAAAGATGGATTTAGTACCATTTGATTTGTTTCAACGAGACGATTCTAATGAGCTATTGTGCATCTCTGTACGATCACTTGATGCTGAGATAATTAGCAAAATGTAAATGGCGCATTATCACAAAAATGAAAAGTGCCGATGTTTGATGTTTTGTTAAATATCTCGACATCCAGTGGTCGTAGAAAGATGATCTAAATCGCATTAGATTCGTCTTGATGCAACGATTCGAATGAGCTATTGTGCATCACTATACGATCGCTGGTTGCCGAGATATTTGGTAAAATGTGAAATGGCGCAGTATCGCAAATAAAAAATGCTGATTTTGACATTTGGTTGAATATCTCGGCATCCAGTGATTGCATATGGATTAAATTAGCGCCATTCAATCCGTCTCAACGAGATGATTCAAATGAGCTTTTATGCATCTCTAATCCGCATTTTAAAAAAAATCCAATCCAGATTCCGGTTTCTATCTGGGTTATGAGATACGGATTTACAATCCGGATATCTGAAAAAAAAAAATCCGGATCAATCCAGATTGATCCAGATACGGGTCGAAGCACTACCGACACCGGTCCTACATTTCAGTCTTAAATATTATTTGTCAGTTATTTTTTGATCCAGTGATCGTAAAAAGATGAAATAAAGCTTATTAGAATTGTCTCATCTTGACGAGTCTAATGATGATTGTTTTATCTTTCTGTGATCACTGGGGAGTGGATGCCAAGTAATTCTACAAAATATTAAAATTCATTATTTTAACATTTTTGATTTCTTTAAAAATATTAATGGATTATCTAATTATTTAAATTATTTGATCAATCCAAGCAATAATAAAATGAATTTTTTATGTATTTTTAGCACATTTCTTAAAAAAAATTTTTTATATTACTACATTAATATTTTTTATTTCATATTAATATCATTTACTGTATATATATGTTGTCTTTTAAAAGACAACTGGTCTTAAAAAAACTGATGGACTTATTACTATTCACAAAGCAAGACCATTTAGGACCATAAGAGTTTGTAGTCTTTTTGGTCCAGTCTTTTCAGTCTTAAGATTGAAAAGGCCATAAGTCCTAGGACCAAGTTAACCTTTTTAAAGGCTTTAAATTCCATAAAAATCGTGATACATTCACAGAAAAAACATGGAAATAAAAGTCACAGATCAACGTTTTTTACTGGGTATTGACAACAATAGTCTTCTATTGCTTAATTACAAACTAATTTATTTATGTAAATGAAAACTACATATATATACTCTATAATCAGCGTTGAACAACAACTAATAACTATGATATTAAATAAAAAAAAAATATAATTCCTTTATATTCTAAACAATTACCAGTTTATTATCAGTGTTAGTAGTAATAGAGGAAGAAGGCTGGTGACTTCTGATTAGAGCATTAAAGGACAAGTATTAATGCATGATATTAAATAAACTTTACAGAAGATGATGTAAAAATAATAGTCAGTTGCCATCTGCAATTTCATCATAGTAAGATATCACATTATAATTTATTAATTAATTTCCCTGAATTTTTTGATAAGGATATTTGAAATTTCGTATGATTGCTAAGTAAAAATTTAATCTGAGCGGACATAATCAATCAGGGATGGCACAACTTAAACATTCAGAATTACGAAGATCTTTTGTAATAGGATCAAGTAATTGAGATGTATAAATAGCTTCCGGATGATTTTTGTTTTTCTTAAAAGAAGAGAGGCATGATTTTCTGTAAATTTCTGCCTCTTTAAATTGTTTTCTAATTTCAATTGCATTTGAATCACTTTTTTTATAAGAACTATAACAATCATAAAATGACTTAATTCCAACATTTATTTCACTAGCATTTGGTCTATTGTCTGGATTTGAATCCCAACATCTTCTCATTAAGTCAATATAACATTTTGGTGCTTCCAGTTCATTTATTTCAGGTCTAACTCCATCGCATATATCTAATATTAGAGGATGGTCGTGTGCACAATTGTTAAAAGGTTGCTTCCCAGTTGCTGTGAAATACATAATCATACCAAAGCTATATATATCTGCTGCTTGAGTATAAGCTTTAGCTCTCAGCACTTCAGGAGCCATATAAGAAATAACTCCGTAAGGTTTTACCTCACCTGTATTACTCACATCTTCACATAATCCCATATCTGATATAAATAATGATTTGTTATTAAAAGTATTTAAACTTTTTGTCAAAAATAGTATATTTCCTGGATGTAAATCATGATGAACCTTCTGATTTTGATGAATCCCTTTAAGACCTTCAATGATATATAATAATGTTTGTATTTTATTTTTCCAATCAAAGTCTTTATAATTATTATTTATCCAATTACTATAACTTCCACCTTCTGCATATTCAAGAACTATAATAAAATTGCTTGTATCTGGATTTTGGGATATTCCATATACACTAAGAATATCACTCTTTTTACTAATTGAATATTCTTTGACCTATTTAAAAAATATATATTATTAATTTAAAAGTTTTTGATTAATCACAATAAGTTTATAGTTAAATTTAGTGAACTATTTAAACATTTTAAAGCAACTTTTTTGTTTGAAACTCTTGTATACATTTTCTTATCTATATCATATTTTAATGGACCATCTTTCCATATTGCTGAATATACTGTAGCAAATCCGCCTTTACCTATTTCTTTAATGTAATTGAATTGATTATATGGTATCCATTCAAATACTATATTAAAACAAGAATTTATTCCTAAATGCATTTCTTGAATTAAACCAACAAGTTTTTCGTTCTTAATCGTCCATTTTGTAAAAATATTTATACATGGTTTACACCACTTATATCTCGTTTGAGTGAATTTTACTCCGCAATTTTTGCAATATATTTTACCATATTCTGTACAATATTCATTTTGAAGAACCAAAATGTAATCCTTTTTATCTGGAGTTTGAGATATCCCATACATTTCGGAACTATTATCAAATTCTTTAACCTATTAAATTATAAAGATACATCAACTAAATTAAAAGAAAATTTGAGTTTAAATTAAAAATATTTCATACCTTATTTAGAAATTTTTGTGAATCAATAAAGCATACTAAAGCAACCTCATATTTCCATATTGCTGAATATACTGTAACAAAATTTCCCTTGCCTATATTTCTAATTTTATTAAACTGATTGTATGGAATCCATTCAAATACTACATCATTATAGGAATTAATATTTAATTGAATTAAACTATCAATTTTATCATCCCCACTTTTCCAGCCCATAAAATTACATGATTTACACCATTTATACTGGATATCCGTGTATATTTCACAACATATGCTACAATATTTTTCAAAACTTTTACTACTAAAAACTAAATTATAGTCCTTTGTATCTGGATTTTGAGACATTCCATACAATACAAGCTTTTTACTTCTCATTGAATATTTCTCAACCTACAACCATAAACAAAAATTAAAATGTAATAACAGATGCAACAACATTTATAGAAATTCATACCTCATTTATTAGAGAAACAACAGAATTTTGTAAGTTATGCAAACATTTCAAAGCAACTTCTTTATTTGAATCTCTTTTATAATATAAACTCTGCTTATCTTTCTTGTGTAATGGGCCATCCTTCCATATTGCTGAATACACTATTACAAAACCATTTTTGCCTGTTTCTTTAATTTCATTAAACTGATTGTATAGTATCCATTCAAATACTATATCACCATAGGAATTAATGCTTAATTGCCTTTCTTGAATGAAGTCATCAATTTTTTAATTTCTACTAGTCCAGGTAAGAAATTTTTGAACTAAGATATAATCACTTGTATCTGGATTTTGAGATATTCCATACAATACAAGATACTTGTTATTTTTTATTGAATATTTTTTAGCCTAAAACCATAAACAAGGAAATTAACATAAAAATGTAATAATAAATGCAATAATATTTATAGAATTTATACCTCATTCATTAAAAAATCAACAGGATTTTGCAAATTATGCAAACATTTTAAAGCAACTTCTTTATTTGAATCTCTTGTATATTTACTATGATTATAATGTAATGGACCATTCATCCATATTGCTGAATATACAGTTATAAAACCATTTTTGTCTATTTCTTTAATTTCATTAAATTGATTGTATGATATCCATTCAAATACTACGTCATCATAGAAATTAATATTTAATTGCATTTCTTGAATGAAATCATCAATTTTTTCATTTCCAATCGTCCAATTTACTAAGTTTATAGAATTATTTTGAACCAAAATATAATCACTTGTATCTGGATTTTGAGATATTCCATACAATACAAGAAACTTGTCATTTTTTTTTGAATATTTTTTAACCTAAAACCATAAACAGAAAATTAACATATTAATAATGTAATAATAAATATAATAATATTTACAGAAATATATACCTCATTTATTAGTGAATTGACAGGATTTTGTAAGTCATGCAAACATTTTAAAGCAACTCCTTTATTTTAATCTCTTTTATATTTATAATATTTATCATTTTCAGCATCATAATATAATGGACCATTCCTCCATATTGCTGAATATACAGTTGTAAAAGCATTTTTTCCTGTTTCTTCAATTTCATTAAATTGATTGTATGGTATCCATTCAAATACTATATCACCATAGTAATCAATATTTAATTGCCTTTCTTGAACGAAATCGTCAATTTTTTTATTTTCACTAATCCAGGTAAGATATTTTTCAACTAAAATATAATCATTTGTATCTGGATTTTGAGATATTCCATACAATACAAGAAACTTGTTATTTTTTTTTGAATATTTATTAACCTAAAACAATAAACAGAAAATAAACATTGTATTAATAANTATTTTTTTTTGAATATTTATTAACCTAAAACAATAAACAGAAAATAAACATTGTATTAATAATGTAATAATAAATGTAACAATATTTACATAAATATATACCTCATTTATTAGAGAATCAACAGGATTTTGCAAATTATGCAAACATTTTAAAGCAACTTCTTTATTTGAATCTCTTTTATATTTATAATATTTATCATATTCATCATCATAATATAATGGACCATTACTCCATATTGCTGAATATGCAGTTATAAAACCATTTTTGCCTGTTTTTTCAATTTTATTAAACTGATTGTATGGTATCCATTCAAATATTATATTATTATAGGAATCAATATTTAATTGTCTTTCTTGAATTAAATAATCAATTTTTTTATTTTCACTAATCCAGGTAAGATAATTTTCAACTAAAATATAATCACTTGTATATGGATTTTGTGATATTCCATACAATACAAGAAACTTGTTATTTTTTGTTGAATATTTTTTAACCTAAAACCATATATAAACGTAAACATGAAATTAGCATTGTAACATTATATATTAAAAATGTAATAATAAATCCAATATTATTTAAATAAATTTATACCTCATTTATTAGAGAATCAACAGGATTTTTGAAGTTATGCAAACATTTTAAAGCAATTTCTTTATTTGAATCTCTTGTATATTTATCATATTCATGATCATCATTATAATATAATGGGCCATTCCTCCATATTGCTGAATATACAGTTATCATGGAACCATTTTTGCCTGTTTCTTCAATTTTATTAAACTGATTGTATGGTATCCATTCAAATACTTTATTATCATAGGAATTAATATTTAATTGCCTTTCTTGAATGAAGTTATCAATTTTTTCATTTCCACTAGTCCTGGTAAGAACTAAAATATAATCACTTGTATTCGGATTTTGAGATATTCCATATAATACAAGATACATATCATTTTTTTTTGAATATTTTTTAACCTAAACCATAAACAGGAAATTAAAATTATATTAAAAATGTAATAATAAATGTAATAATATTTATATAAATTTATACCTCATTTATTAGAGAATCAACAGGATTTTGCAAGTCATGTAAACATTTTAAAGCAACTGCTTTATTTGAATCTCTTGTATATTTTATACAATGTAGTGGGCCATTCCTCCATATTGCTGAATATACAGTTATAGAATCATCTTTACCTGTTTCTTTAATTTCATTAAACTGATTGTATGGTATCCATTCAAATACTACATCATAGAAATTAATATTTAATTTCCTTTCTTGAATTAATTTATCAATTTTTTCATTTCCACTAGTCCAAGTAAGAACTAAATCATAATCACTTGTATCCGGATTTTGAGATATTCCATACAATTCAAGAAACTTGTCATTTATTGTTGAATATTTTTTAGTCTAAAACCATAAGCAGGAAATTATTATTATATTAATAAGTGTAATAAAAAATGTGATAAAATGTAATAATTTTGTAGAGATTTATACCTCATATATTAGAGAATCGACAGGATTTTGGAAGTTATGCAAACATTTTAAAGTAACTTCTTTATTTGAATCTCTTGTATATTTATCATATTCATAATCATCATTATAATATATTGGGCCATTCATCCATATTGCTGTATATACAGTTATCATAGAACCATTATTGCCTGTTTCTTTAATTTTATTAAACTGATTGTATGGTATCCATTCAAATACTAAATCATTATAGTAGGAATTAATATTAAATTGCCTTTCTTGAATGAAGTTATCAATTTTGTCATTTCCACTAGTCCAAGCAAGAACTAAGATATAATCATTTGTATCTGGATTTTGAGATATTCCATACAATACAGGAAACTTGGATTTTTTTTTTGAATATTTTTTAACCTAAAATCCATAAACAGGAAATTAAAATTATATTAAAAATGTAATAATAAATGTAATATTATTTATATAAATTTATACCTCATTTATTAGAAAATCAACAGGATTTTGCAAGTTATGCAGACATTTTAAAGCAACTGTTTTATTTGAATCTCTTGTATATTTTATACAATGTAATGGGCCATTTCTCCATATTGCTGAATATACAGTTATAGAACCATTTTTGCTTGTTTCCTCAATTTCATTAAACTGATTGTATGGTATCCATTCAAATACTACATAGAAATCAATATTTAATTGCCTTTCTCGAATGAAATTATCAATTTTTTCATTTCCACTTGCGCATGTATTATTTTGAACTAAAATATAATCACTTGTATCTGGATTTTGAGATATTCCATACAATCCATTTATTGTTGAATATTTTTTAGCCTAAGACCATGAGTAGGAAATTAATATTATATTAATAAGTGTAATAATGAATATAATAAAATGTAATAATATTTGTAGAAATTTTATACCTCATTTATTAGAGAATCAACAGGATTTTGCAAGTTATGCAAACATTTTA